CCTAATCTGTGACAGCCTCCAAACATGCCAAAGAGCACTGGACCGATTAGCACTGGCTGTCAATCGTTTTGGGCTATGCTTTGCTCCATCGAAATGCAAAGTACTTCTCCAGGATTGGCAGGGACCCAACCCTGCGCTAACGCTTGGTGGTGATCTGCTAGAAGTCGTTCAGGAATTCAAGTACCTGGGCAGCTATATTAGCACCCGTGGGATTGAAGATGAGGTTACGAACCGCATAGCAAAAGCTCGAGGTGCTTTTGCCAATCTCCGCCACCTGTGGCGCAGACGCGACATTACTCTCGCCCTGAAAGGCAGAGTTTACAACGCAGCCGTCCGTTCTACTCTCTTATATGGTTGTGAAACCTGGCCCATCAGGTCGACTGACATGAAGAGACTCGTCACATTCGATCATCGCTGCCTTCGCAGCGTAGCTCATGTCTGGTGGGAACATCGCGTGAGCAATGAGCGTGTTCGACGTCGCGTATTTGGTGCAGGAAGAGCGAGTGAACCGCTCAGCACGATTATATCACGCACCAGGCTCCGATGGCTGGGCCACATGTTGCGCATGCCAGCACACCGACTACTGCGACGTGCATTGTTTGCGCGTTGTGGGTGCGGTTGGAAGAGGAGGAGGGGAGGCCAAGTGATGACTTGGTCGAGAGAAATGAAAACCCTCACTTCGAAGTTGGCGTCGGTTGGTACATCCCGACTGCCTGGCTGGGGTCCTAAGGACGATGAACACGTTTGGTTGGACACACTTGCTGATATGGCTAGGAGCCAGCACCAATGGCGTTTGTGTTGTGATTTCCTTTGCCCATCCCCCTCCTGTTTAATATCCCCCTCCAATCACGATCTCATCTGTTAGGCATAATATGATTTTCTTTTTACGGCAGCCAGCTGTTAGCTCTCCGGAACGATGTCCATCCGTTACTGGGGACTCAGCGGGCGTGCCACTGTTTTCCTTTTCTTGTCTTTTGTATTGCGGCACAATAGCTGAGGTGTTTTCCACCTCCAGCTAACGTGTAATGATGATGATGATGATGATATATGTATGGTTAATGTTTTCATAAGTTACAGGTGTCCTGATTCCATCTTTGATCGTCGCTCATTCTAGAATGCTTGCGTTAACTCTGATCATGCTTTAGTACTGTGTCGTTTTCCCATGAACTTTACCTGAGAGGCTTACTAAGCGTTTTAACGATTGACGACGGAGATGTAGTCTCAGTTTTTCCTCAGACAAGCCGGCCAGCATGCACTGCTTATCGATCTTTCGCTCTCTCGTCATAACGATATTTGTCTTCAGCGGAATAGTATCTCGGCCATGAACCACGTCAGAGCCACTGATTGTAGTACCATCAGCCGTCACCGCACTAGTCGCTGGATATCCGAGATGTCTGTGAGCCTGTTGAAATTCAGCAGAAAACTCCCAACTGGATCTGACCACAATGTGATCAGACGGACCATTAGGCGCAAATTGAAGTGGAACGTTCGCGCTGATATGGAAGCCTGGTGACAATCGGACTAAAGTAATGGCAGAGGCAGGAGCCGCAGGTAATTATCTCAAGTTCTTCCAACTGTTATCCACCACTGGTTCCAAGAAACCAGATGTCAATGAAACAATCAGAGACGGCGCCGGTGTCCTGATTCACAATAAGAAGCACAGTATGACTCGTTAGGTGGAACACCTTCGAAAGCAATTCAGTTGGCCTCCTGCTTCCGGACTTTTTCCAGCTGGTTGTGCATGTTGAGTCATGGTTAGTTTAGAGTAGGAGTGTCTAAACTTTTCGCAAGGTGGGCCACATTTTGTAAGCTAAATATATGTCTGGCCACATTCAATCTGATATTAAAATAGTAGCAAAAATTACACATGTCATGAATTATTTATTGCAACTTTTCAATGTATGGAGTGAAACTGAGAACTTGAGATCTTTATGTTTTGATTTAGTTAAGACCTCTTTAGTTGGAGTACTAGAGCAAATTTTCCTAGTTAATTAACATTAAGTAGTACATTTTTTATTTTTGCCAGCACATGACGCCATTGAATTTTGTATTCATAATATCCTTAACTTTTTTCGTAATCTATATAATATCATATGTACGAAAAAATCTAAGCTTGAATTTATTATTTCATGATAAGGCCGCGGGCCAGTTGAAATGTTAATGCGGACTGGACTTTGTACATCCCTTGTTTAGAGACTGTCGGAGACGGAGATCCAAAACATGATCACAGCCCTTAACCATTTTCGTGCCTCTGGTCCGGATATCTGGCACCCGAGGTATTTCAGGATGTTGGTGAGGTGCTCCGCAATGCACTAACTTCCCTGTTCAAACAGGTCTGGATGATAATGTGTAAGCTGTACGCCGTAACGGCACTTCGCTGCCGTGCGACCACCACCAGTCGCGTGTGAGCTGAGTATGCCGCGAGAACACCTACCCCTACGTGGAAGGATGACATCACCCCAACTAACTGGAGTGAATCGATTATAGTGGCAATACACAAGAAGGACAGTCGTGCCGATTTTGATAACCACAGAGATATTAGCCTAACGCTGGTGGTGACAATTCTCGTTGTCACCTCACTGAGAAACGGGAATCCCTAATTAGAGAAGACGAGGCGGGTTTGTGCTCAGGTGCTAAAGCATCGCCACACTTACCGCAGTCCGACAATAGCTGTGTTCCTGAACTACATGTATGAATTAGACCCAGTCGATTAATCCATTCCCATCGTGATGTTTACGCGGATGGGTGTTCCCATGCAATATGTGCATTGTACTCGAATACCACAGACCGCGTCACGATCCACGGCGACTTGTCGGATATCTTTCCGACAACAAGTAGCCTCCTTCAGGGTCGTCCATTTTCCCCACTTTTATTCAATTTTGTCGTGGACTCCATCATGAAGTGTTACCTTGCGAAGCCTCAGGTGTAGATGTGCTGTCTGGTGAAAAGATAGTTGATCTTGATAATGCGGACGATATTGTCCTGTTATTTAACGATGTTGGGGTGGCCCGGTCAACCCTGAATAAACTGTCTAAAGTGGTCCCATCATTCTCGCCTTCAAAGTGCAAGGTGTTGTTGCAGAACCACGAGCCATTTGACGACTTTTTGACCCTTGCTAACGTGTAACTCGACGTAGTTGATCAATTCACCAACCTTTGCACTTGCATCACCAACGATGGGCGCACATCGACTGAAGTAAGGTCACGTAATCCAAAAGCAGGAACTACTTTCTTGAACCTGCAATCTCTGTGATGTCACAAGTGGGTTTCCCTTGGTCTCAAAAGCGTGTTTACAAGGCCATTGGGTGGGTCGTCCTGCTCTTTGGTAGTGAGACTTGATCCCTTCGATCTGAGGACTTGCGGCGTCTTCAGGTCTTTGATCATCGATGTCTACGAAGCATTGCTGTTGTCGGATAACACCAGCATGTGCGTATTCGGTGATAATCAGGCTAGTTCCTCAAAACAACATATGACACTGAATAAGTTGCATTGGCTTGGGTACGTGCTATATATGCCCGGTCACTGCTTACCGAGGAGGGTTTTGTTTTTCCACCAGATGTAGGGTGGCGCAAGGCTTGAGGTAGGCACAAATTGACTTGGTAGCGGGAAATGAAGTCACTGATGACCGAACTTGCTGCCGTTGGTCCGTCTCACCTTCCTGACTGGAGTTCACATGACCGCCTTGTTCCTGACTCGAGACTTTACAGGACATGACTCGTAGTCGCGTCCTAGTCGGACTATTAGTGTCTGACGCTGACTTATCATTGGGATAATGGCGGATTATGACGCGGCTTTCACTAATGCTGCAAAGCACTTCCATCGACACCGCCTTATCTTTGCAAAACGGCCAGCTGTTTGTGACGGTGCGTTCTTGACAAGGTGTAGGCGCCTTTACCCTGAATACTTGCTTAGAGCATTAAGGTTTTATGCTAGGTCCCTCTTCTCTCTCTTATTCTTTTCATTCCTGAAGTCACCATGGTTGTGCGGCAACGAGGCATCAGTTCAAATGGCCGATGTAACGCTGTTCATAATGATGATTCTTTTCTTCCTCTTGTCCACATTTCGAAACTTTGTCTGTGCTTCGTAGCGCATCGGAGAACCAACTTCACAAAGTCTTTTCCGTATCTAAATATCTATCCGGAGCTTATCAACTCGATATCATATTTGTCACTCCCATTTCCTAAGACCGGTGTAATGCACTGGCCTGCAATTGACCTTTTACATGATCACAAGCGTTCTTTTAGCACTAACCAATTAGCTTCCCACTTGTGGATTTGTTTTAAACCGCGAGGTGCTTTAATTTAACTTATCTTACGGATCCCGGTCACCATCACATTATTTTTAACATTATGGCGCTGGTCATAACACTTACATCTTTCGCATTCCAATGCTCGTATAATGGCTTTTTGACTGAACTGCAATGTTCCCTCTTGCTCGTTGGCCTTGACTGGAGAAGTGTAATGCAAACGGTTCCGCTGTTGTTACTGTTGTCGCCATTATTAAGGCTTAACTTCCTTAGCACAAAGAGGAAGACAGAAATCAAAAAATTCGGTGTTAATTTGTAAGAGATTGTGCAGTGCACGATAATTCAGTACACGAAGCTGAATACAGCAGCTCCGCTAACTCCCTGGCTGTCATGGAAAATATAGTTTCCAACTTTTGATTTGGACCATTTTGAGGTCCTCTTAGTAGAAAGGTGACACAGATAAGCCCGGTTCGGTCTACGGAACGACCTACTCCATATCATTTTTCCGTGTCTTCCCCTTTTGATTCACCAGGGTGGGTGGTTCTTCACATGCGAGCGCAAACGAATCAGGGTCAGCAGTTGTACACAGAAGTCCCGGGTGTTACAGACTTCAGCTATGTACATTTGCCACTTATGTTCCCACTACTTGAACGAACTTAATGTTAGACTTTTAAATACGCTGACTAGTTGAAAACATATTTTGGAACCGTCAACAGCGGCTCGCGCCTGAGAATAGTTTAACTCAACCCTGTTCAATGCCTGATCCGGTCCTAACTTACTCTTATTTCAAGGCTAACCTAGATTTTGCGTTCCGCGTGATTCGGTACGGCGGCATGGCGATTTTCATCTGTAGCTGACACCTGACCCACTGTAAACATGGGTTTGAGACGAACTTGAAAAACGTTTATAGCACCACTTAACTCTGTAATCTAAGTAAATCTGCTTCCTAGTGACCAGCTCTTTCCGAATTAGGCTTTACTGTATTGCTCACAGGCTCGCATAATACAATCGTTGTTATTCCACAATACCGGTGCAGTTATACGGGTCTGTCATCCAATTGATGTTTGGCGCACCGATTTACTTCTTTCCTTATGTTCGGTGTCTTTAAGTTGTATTACAATCGTGAACCACGGGAATGAGTTTGTAATCCTTTTGTGTTTAACGGACGTCCAATGTTCGTGTTGTCATCGCATACATCAATTGGCGCCCAGCATAGCCTTTCGAAACATAGTAGCCGTTATTTGGCTACCTTGATACTACCGTTATTTTATTTCCTCCCTGAGTCCACTTTGCACTGAAACCTCTGAACACGTTTCATACGATTGATGGAGTTGAATTGCGCGTCAGCAGGAGATTGAAAGACTGACTCGGCCACTAAAGTTCCATTTCCGCCTTTTGGTCAGAATGCCCTGGTTCAGATCGACGGGACATCAGTTAACGGAGAATCTAACCCCAGTGCATTCTGTACTTCTCACTGAACAACGTGCATATGCAAAACTGTGAACATAGCAGTATACATATTTCCATTCCAAATACTGAAGGCATTTATGAAGAAAATCTGTGCGCCTTTTGGTCTTTCCTTATGTAGAAATTGTCTCTCGCACTGTCAAGAACTGAACGATTTGTTAATCAATTAATTAATTACGATTAATTCTTGCGCTCCTAATTTTATTTTGCATTTTTACTTACTTTAGTGCTTTGAACCATTCACTTATACCTGAATGTGTTTTCATTTCCGATGACTGTATGACAGTGCCAGCTAGTTTCTAGTCATTAATCACCGCAGCTATCGTGAACGTCACTATTTTTAACCTTATTTTCAGTGATGAACAGCGAACTATTTTGGGCAATTGGTCTCTGCATGATTCTTTGAATGGGATGGATTTTTACGATCCTGATGGTAAGGGTGTGGTGGTGCTGCTTCCTTTTGTATGCATCAACTTATTTATTAATCGCGCTACTAAACCCGATTTTGTGTGTTCAACTAGTTTTTCTGTCAATCTGCCCCCAAATTTTACCATGTTTTCACCGGCATTTTTAGTACTTGCTTCTTGTCGTTTATACATGTATCAGATGAAGTTCCTAATGTCAGTTTTACTCGTGTTTCGTCGAGAAACATTTGGTTGTGGTACCATCAACCCCTAGGCTACAGCTCCGATGCCAACTTTAAAATATTAAATAGTTTTGATGAGCGTTTGCAGTTGCTTTGTTCTAGATGATAGTTAAATAATAGTCTATAATCATCATCATCATTATACACGTCAGCTAGAGGTGGGAAAATACCTCCGCTATTGTGCCGCAATACATGAGTCTATAATCTTAGATTATCGTCGCCTTCCATATTAACATTTTCCTCTTTAATGTCACTATGAAATGGTGTCGCATCTTGTTCATTGCACACAGTGTTTGACAGAAGCTACAATTTCAGTGCTCTGCTGACGCCGACTAGTACCAAGTATGCACTATGACCTGGTGCTTTAATGTCAAATGCGGCAGTGACATGTTGGCTCATTTATCTTGCTCTTTTAATTCTCCAATCTTCACTTTTATAAATACATACCTTGTCCTGTTGTTTACGACCACACTTGGTTTAGCGTAAAGTGCCATTGGATTTAGATTTTAAGTATCAATCGGATCACCATATCAAGAAAATCCACCTAAACAAGGATAGCTCAACGCACCACATCCATGTGCGATTGTTTTACCCGTAGTCAACGGGCACTGTCCGTAGTGTACAAATTCAAGTATTTATTTTCCTCCAGATAACGAGGGAAATGGCAAGCTGATCTGGGTGGATTTGCTCGAAAACCCAGAACGGTTCACTGGTTACAAAGGCGCTGCGTCCCACCGAATTTGGCACATGATTCATGCAGAAAACTGCTTCAAGTAGGTGGCGCTCCACTTTCTTTCACCATCATTCTTTTACTTCAGCGACAAAAACTTTGACCATCAAACGTTCGTACCTAGTCCAGGTGAGTCTAGGTCATTCGTGTCAGTTCTACACCCATATCTGTTTACCCTTTGTCCTTTATCTTTGGCGTCCTTGCTGATTTTTTTATTTTCTGGTAGGAGGAAGTTGCAAGCAGGCAGACCGTGGCCTTTTTAGCTATCCCGTTATCTATAAATGTAGTGGTTTTGATCGTTTGGCAGAGACCGCACACAATATCATGTAGGTAGTGGTGGTGGTGGTGGTGGTAGGTACCTGCTTTCGATGGATAGTCGTTGGATGATAAATAACTTTCTACTGAAGATGAACTTGTGTTTCCTGTACAGAATAATTCACCATCACATGCACAATTATGCTAACTGTGTCCATATGGCCGTTAACACTAGATACGAGCTACGAAACAAGGAGACAACGGTCATGATTCCAAAGTTCAATACGCGAATTAGGGAGCGTTTCTTCTTACTACACTGCTCAAAGCTTTGGAACAAACTTCCAAGAGCTATCAGAACTTGTTGCACATTGTGTTTGTTTAAGCTTTCGATAAAAGATTATTTAACCGTTCAAAATGTGATAATAATGTTTCGAACAGCACAGTCCTTAGATAACGCTTTTGAGAACGGAGTTAATGGTGCCTGAAAATGCATGTGATCAAGTGCACAAGTGGTTATATTTTGTTGGCCCGCAGCACTTTATTCTCTTTTTTTTCTCGTGTGCGATCAACTCTCATGTGACTGCTAAAACTTGTCAGACGATAGAACAAGAGGAATGTAAATATTTTGGACCGCTTCGCGCTACACAAATTTTCATTTTGTGCTCACATTTTTAAAAATTTATTATACCATGATATGAAACTGCTGTACCATTATTTGATCCGTCCCTTCTGGGAACGGCTTCTCGCATCGTCGAGCCATATACAATTTATTTATTTATTTATTTACCGAAATGCATCGCGGCCATCAAAAGCCTTCTTTCGCATAGCATTGACCAAACATTGAATCTACACTTCCTCTATCACACACGCAGTTGTACTGGCCACATATTCAGCTAGCTACAGGTATTGTGTCTCTTTCAGCTTGTTACTTGAAGCCTGGGACATGTCAAAACTACGCATCCAGTGGGATTGAGGTCTTGCCAGTGTGGCATCTTGTCGCAACCAACAGAGTTTACTTAAACAATAGGGCTACAACACTTTCACTTGCGTTGTCTCGAATCTTGCGGGCTACGAACTGTACTTTTCCTCTTGATAGGTTATTCCAAGTGGCGAACACTAGAATAATCTTCCACCGGTTTTGCAAAAAAGTCACCAACCACACCTAGACCTTAGGCTAATTTCCATTCTCATCTAACTTTCTGGCTCTTCTAATTGTAATTGTATCGGGTCGGCCCTTTTGTTTGTTTTTTCCTCATTTCCCTTCCACGATGAGGTTGGTAGATGTAATTGGATTCACTGCATGTTGGGACTTGTATCCTATTCGAGTAACTGTTCTAAAGCAAGCCACTGCATGTCTGCGTTTTACAGCATTGAAGATTGCCACTTAGGAGTGGTTTCACCTCACATACTTTAAAAACACTTTTCTCCCTATCGATCACGATAAAACAAAGAAAAAGGGGCGCGCAGCAGTGATCCTTGAGAAGTGCATTTCTCTGCTTATCTTGTCTCAATTGACGATTAGAGAGTGAGTTCATTCATACGATATATCAGTTCACCAAACCTTTCCAAGGGTCAGCCACGTCAACCACGGTTGGTGTCTTTCTGCGAAACCTCAGTGCAAAACTGGTATGCTACTGTTGTTGCTGGTGGTGTTGGTGGCATCAGAAAGCGTGTGATGCACTGCCTTCTTTTTTGCGCATGCGTCTGCGTCTTCCATCTGTCCCTCTCGATTTGGCCAGTACCACCTTCACAGCACTGAACTACCAACGGGCGTATCCGAGTAACCTAAGTTGCGTCCTGTCGACTCATCAATTTTTTAGGAATCTCCCTGATTATCCGATTCCTTGAATGAAATTTTAAAGTGGTTTTTCTTTGACCACATCGTGCCTCGGTTGGTGTTCAACTTGAGCTGCCTATCTCATTCGACAGTTCCAGGAAGTGTTTGCAAAAGGCATCATCCGACAGATTACCACCAGTCTCAAATTCGTTGAAGGGGTGCAAATAAACACGGAACCAGTCGTAAATTGCAACGAACAACATATAAAACATATCGATGGTTAACGTGTTGCATAGTTGCTCGGCCGCGACTAAAAAGCATGGATTTCTTACATACCATAACATGTGTGTTGTTAATGGATGACTGAATTTTCGTGTTTTTGACCATATCGAGTTTACCCTTAATCATTCTCCCAACTTTGAAAATCATTCCTGCATTTAATTCACTATGGACTGAGTGGTTCATAACGGATCGTTCGGCTCGCATGAGGAATCTAATGATCTAGACTCTGTGTACTGACCCGGCACCCGTAGCGGTGATATTTTGGCACATTCCAATAATTTTCGTCAATCAATGCAAAGCCGATCATACACCCGTCAAACACACTTGCTCCGCGCATAGTTTATCGGCTTTTGTGCTTGATGTAAAAGGATACCCCCGGGACCCCAGTTGCGCTAATTATTCACGGGTTGTATGGCAGACTTATCGTTGCACATTATTGGATTCTCGTAATTTATTTCAATTTTAAGGCCTATTTGAAGGGGTAAACAATGAAAAATTCATACAAAGTATTCACATTGTTTCCTCTGCCGTTGTCCACGTGTGCATGTGCGTCTCCGGACCATATTTCGGGTCCAACCTGATCTAATGTGTATATTTTGCGCATCTGTGGGGTGATGTAGCGAAATGTACTCAAATTTTGTGGTTGTTAGAGTATCACGCGCTCACGAGTCTGTGGGTGTATGGTCCAATCAGTTTGGTATAATTAAGCTTGATGGAAACAAAAGCTCTTCAAAATCTTACTCACACAGCATTAGCTTTTAGTTATCTGGCCTTTATCTTTGTATCGAATCACAGAAGCGTGCAAGTTTGTACCCCTCGAATGCGCCGAAGATTAGAATACACTTCTTGGGTCGCACAACGAATACCAGCAATACTTCTGATCCGTTGTTCTTTGTTTGATCCATCAATAGGCAAACTTCGTGCTTTTGACGAACACGATTGCTCGGCACACCTACAAGATGTCTAGGAACGTAACGCGCCCATTCCCCTTGGACAACCACCCACATCATTAGACACGACTCGCATACTGGGCTGTTGCGATGCTTATGTATAGATATGCATTGACAGTTATGGTGAACACTCGTAGCTTAGGCTGTGGGTATGGAGATACCGAACTGCTCGTTATCAAAAACGTCCATACAAAAGTACCAAGCTCAGGGAACAGTTCAACATCGCCTTTGTTATTAACGTCCTTACTGGGTTTCGACTGCCCTAGTCGGAACGGACGAACGCTTCACTCGTTGGTTCTCACGCGCAGAGTAGCCTAGACGATTCATATTTGGACGCCTAGTCTGCCCGCAGACGAGAACTTGCAATTGATAAGGCAGACAGAACGCGTAGACGCCGCATGACTATACCGAGACCCGTAGAAAAAAGATTAGCCAATGGTAAGTGTGCGTTTACTGGCTCAACCAAAGCAACCGTGCTTTCTTTACCTTCATGTTTATAGTTTACTAAAACAGTAGTAATTGTATAGACTATAAGGGAAAGCGTACGTTACTTGGCACATGGGTTGCCATGACGTGGTCCTATCCCCAGGCAGAGATGGGGTGGGGTCGATGCTGTTGAGACATTGGGCACATCACAGTTGCTGAGTATGCTCGGTGCCTAAGGCATTGGCGTGAACACAGGTCAGGAGGCAGACTACTGACTTGAGGAGAGTTCGGGAGATACGATAGTGAGACTGGGGCGAGGTCAGTAGAAACTGTGTGGGATACGTTGGCCGTGTTTTCACTGAAGACACCTCCGTTGTGATCTGCGCGGATGTCTGGACCCTTGGCGGCAGTTTTCATAAGAGGAGCTCCGCTCTGTACTGAGTTGTGTGGTCCTCTGCAAAGCCACCATGTTGTTCGGGCCTGATGGTGTACTGTTGCCGGTGAAACTCCGTTGAGTTTTGCAGGCTGTACCAGCTCTATATGGTCCTTGGCTACAGGTTAGCCACAGTCTTCCAGTTTGATGTGCTTGGTTGTTTTTCTGGCTGTTTGCCATGGTGGTTGTTGATTAATACCATTTGTTGCTGCTACATCTAGCTAATACCCTAGGAGCTCAGTCCTTGTCTGTATTTTATCCGATGCCGGTGGTCTCGTTTGCACTTCTAATTATTGTATTTTTGCACTTCTGAACACGTCCGCACGATGTTTCCATTCACGCGCCATTAGTTTTCACACTGCTTATCTCTATATGAAGGACGATTCGGGCTCTAACGTTTCACTACTTAGCTCATATTTTTCATCTGCGCCCTTACCAATTCTTTGGCAACACGAATGCTCCTATGCTTCCTTTACTCTTAAGAACCATCACGTGCAACAGGCATTGGCAGATCTCGCCTCTGTCTTCTTGGGTAAATCTGGCCGCCTACCATTTGTGATTATTCCTTGAACCCGTTCTCCTCCTCATCATCATCATCAGCCAAACATAAGCCATTTAAAGTGATGCTTCACCGCCGTGAAACCACAATGACCTACAGAATGAAGAACAATTAGTGGGTGAAAGGCGGATCTAATGTGAAACCTAAGCACCCGAAGCGTAAGGATGCCTACATTTTCTCAACAATATACGGTCATGCAAGGATAAGGCAGCGTCGGCGGGACAGCTTCCTTGCATTTGTCACTGCCCCACGTCATAATCAGTTAATAATTAGCAGACGACAGTAAGGGCGCCACTGATGCCGACAACGAGCCCTCCTATAAAGTCTCGAGCCAGACACAAGGCGGGTCACGTGGACTTCCGGCTGGTAGGCGAGACGAACCAACAACCTTCAGTTTAGTCGTCAGTGACTTCATTTCGCTCTGCCAAGTCAACGTTTGCTGACGTCGAGTCTTACGCCATCTTACTTCCAGCAGCAGTTGTTTCTTCGATTTTTGTGGATCTTTCCAACTAGGAAGCGGAGACCTTTTCTGTTTGGTACAGTACTCTTTCCTTTTCATCCTTACTGTTGTATATCAACCGGCGGTTAGTCGGCTGCTCTGCTTTTAAACTTATCTGCCCTCGAGAACTTTATTCCTCTTTAGTGTATGTTATGATGCCCAGCTCTGCTTGACCAAAATCCTTCCTCGCTTGTCACAGTCTATCAATTTCATCTGTCAGAATTGCGAGGTTTTTCTTACTCCTTATAGTCATAGTTTCACAGTTTACTTTTGACGCAAGCCATCCTGACTGTACCATCCTACCTTTTCCATTGGATGTTATATCCACTTTTGTGCCTACTAATTGTGCCAACGTAACTCCATCACAGTATCGTCTAGCAGCCGCATTCGATTGATATTTTGATCACTGCACCTTTCCTTTTTAATTTTTTTTATTTGAATTCAGATACCCTTCGATGCCTGGAGAAGCGTGCATTTCATCGATTGCTATCAGGCTTGCACACGAGTGTTTCCGTCCACTTGTGTGCTCTATACCCACGTACCCGTAAGTGGTACTCCACACATGTATCCTCCAGTCTTTTCCACTTATGAATATCACACAATTAGTCCACCTACGGACCCCGTAGATTTGCGACGTCTTGGCGATACTGTAGTCCTTGTTAACTAGCTAACGACCCTGCTTGCGTTCGTTGGATGATCACAGCAAGTGAACACCCAGGTGTGGAGTGACCTAACTCGTTCACAGTTCTTATTTCTTTCTGCGGCCTCCAGTAAACTGGAATACAAGACTGAACTCGTTAAGTTACACTCATATTAAGTGGACGCATAAATTAAGGCTGATGATATGTTATATGGGGCACGGCACGCATAAACTTCGGGTCTCGTTTTCAAAGTTCTGATGTCATTACTTCGCGAATCACTATAGCGGGAAGGACAGGCTGGGTTTCGCCCTAGTCGCGGCTGCATCGATAAAATCTTCGCACTCCGCCAGAGTCGACTCTCGCTGTCAAGTTTGAAGCCGCGTATAAACAATCTTGCTCAAGGATCGCAATGATATTTCTATAGAAATATTGCTAAGAAGTTAATTCTTAATTCTTCGCATGCTAACAATAATTAGATTCAGTTTTAAATATTGTTGATGACTTTTGTGTGGATCCTGATAACTGTTTTAATGTTGATGCACAATTAGTGAAAGTTCCAGGGTGTGATTTATAAGGGAAAAACCAGTGTGCAAACATTAACAATTTAGCTATCATGACAAAAGATACTGATTACTGGAAATCACAGATAAGCGTCTGTTAGGCGTTGCAGATTGCTGAAATTGTGTTGATCCAGAGTGGACTATGGCAAACGGTAAGGTTCAAAAGAGGGGTCACTGTTGGATAAAGATTGAAAATGCTTGCTATAAACTAACCGTCTATGGCTCATCCTGCATCAGCTGGAAGAGCTTGCAATAAATATCTACTGCTCCTGCCTCCTCCATTTCTTGAGCCCGACTGGTCCACCAGGCTTCCTTGTCAGCGCGCAGGCTCCGCTTTAGTTCGCGCTTAGTAGTCCATTTGGCCACATTGTGTTCAAAGCCAGTTGGGAGTTTTCTGCTGGATTCCAACGGGTTCACAGAGATCTCGGATATCCAGTGACTAGTGCGGTGACGATTGATAGTACCACAAGCAGATGCTTTTGCGTCATACATGTGGGCCGAGATCCTATTACACTGAAGCTCCGGACAAGTGTTCGAAAGTTCGGTAGAGAGTTCATTCTGGTACCTGGTCCTCCAGGTTGGGGGTTTGAAATGGGATGGCGTCCATTTCTGTAAAATTAAATCATTGCCACCTCCCCGCTGCCTTGCGGACAGGCTTTTGAGCCAAACGTTTTGGATGAGGACCCTAATCGTCCTCCTGTCTAGGTCTGGGTGCCCTGGCAGTATCTCACCCCACATACAACCATGACTTTTTTTCAAACATAAACTTCATCTTGCATCGTCCGTCGCACAGATTACCAAAGGTCGCCTCATCTGCTGCATACAGCATGGCGAATAAGCGAAAACATGGTACTGCTGGCGCCTCCCTTCTTCCTTTTCCACCTTTTTCTCTTACTCCCATCCCGACCCCCATTACTAACCTTCCTTCTATAATTCCCAGCTTAATTGACAGCAACCGAAGTGCCACTGGAGCAGAAGCATCTTCAGCCACCATCCCACCGCACCTATCGGACGCCTATCGGCAGAAGTCCCTTATAAGGCCACGCTATCCCGTTTCCATGGCGACATTCAACCTTCGCCCTCTAAGACAAGCGGGTCAACTGGCTGCACTCACACGCACCTTGGACACACTGGGTATTGATGTGTGTTGTGTGTCCGAAACTAGGATTAATGACGCTAACGGGGTTATTGAATTAACTGCACCCGTTTTGTCCTCTCGTTATTGGTTGTACGCACCCGGAGACGCCGATGCGGCACTCACGGTCAAGCTAGTGTAGGTATCATTCTCAGCTCCAAGGCTGAGCCATCGTTGGTTGATTGGATTCCGGTGAACAGCCGTTTATGTGCAGCCCGTTTGACGACATCAGCTAAGGTGAATTCGCGAAGTAAAACAAAACGCTGTTTGTTTGTGATTTCTGTTTATGCTCCCACCGACTGCAGTTCTAATGCAGTCAAGGACACTTTCTATCACGAACTGAACGCGCTACTACGCAGTGCTGCTGGTTCAGATATTATAGTACTTGCAGGGGATATGAACGCACAAGTAGGGCGTCTGAGTTCCTCAGAAGCTCAGCTGGGTGGTAAGTATGGACTTAACTCCGAACGGACTGACAACGGTGAGCGTCTGCTGCAACTGTGTGCGGAGCAACAGTTGTTTCTTAGTAGCACTGCATTTAGACACATTGGGCGCCGAAGTGCCACTTGGCGTCCACCTGTAGCTGGCCAGCGATGGACCCAAATTGACCACATAGCCATAAGTTACAGATGGCGTGGTTCCATCTTGGATTGCCGTTCGTACTGGAGTACCTGTGTTGACTCGGATTATGCCTTGGTACGCTGTCGTTTCTCCATGAACTTTACCGGGAGGCGCACCAAGCGTCTCCCTCGATTGGCAACTGAGAAATTGTCTCAGTCCTCGTTCAGGCAAGCTTATGAAGACGCACTGCATACTGAACTTCCGCAGTATTGTCCTAATGACACTGAGCTTCAGTGGAATAGGATCTCGGCCGCCATGCACGACGCAGGAGCATCTGCTTGTGGCACCATCAGTCGTCACCGCACCAGTCACTGGATATCCGAGAGGTCGGTGAACCTGTTGGAATCTAGAAGACACCTTCCGGCTGGCTCTGAACACAATATGACCAGACGGGCTATTAGGCGTGAACTAAAGCAGAACCTACGTGGTGACAAGGAAGCCTGGTGGACCAGTCGGGCTCAAGAAATGGAGGAGGCAGGAGCAGTAGGCAATTACTGCAAGCCCTTCCAGCTAATCCGCACCACTGGTCCCAGAAAACCAGACGTCAGTGAGACAATCAGAGACAGCGCGGGTGCACTGATACACAATAAGGAGCGCCGTATGGCTCGTTGGGCGGAACACTTTCAAACTCAATTCAGCTGGCCCTCTGCTCCTGGACTTCTTCCAACTCAAGTGATGCAGGACGAGCCATGGACGGTTAGTTTAGAGCCTCTGTCGGAGGCCGATGTCCGAAACGCGTTCACAGCCCTTAATCGTTTTCGTCCGCTGACCCGGATGCCCTCCCACCTGCACTATTGAAGGATGGAGGTGAGGTCCTCTGCAAAGCACTGACCTCCTTATTCGAATATATCTGGAAGGAAGAGAGTGTCCTGGCTAATTGGAGCGAATCGATTATAGTGGCAATATACAAGAATGGCAGTCGCACAGACTGTTCTAACCACAGGGGTATTAGCCTACCGCCAGTTGTAACAAAATTATTGGCCTCGATTCTCGTTCGTCGCCTCACTGCGGAGCGGGAATCTCGGATTAGGGAAGAGCAGGCCGGTTTCCGCCCAGGATGTGGCTGTATAGACTATATATTCACTTTGCGGCAGGTGCTGGTTCAGTGTCACGCATACAGTTGGTTTGCACCAATTTGACCAGGGGCTGCCTGGCTTGAGGCGGGCAGTTGCAAGCCATTGAACACCCGGAGGTGTCCTCCCACTGTCAGAGACAATGCGTGACGCTCGATCTGTGAGCTTATAACCCGTAGACCTGTTGTCTCCCGTGGTTAGGTTTTGCGGAAAGGGGGCCGTCGAGCACTTCCTAACCTCCGAAGAGGATGGACTAGGATACTGGCAAAGCGCCCACACCTGACAGGAGAACGAATCGAGTCCTCAGCCAAAGCCTTCGATTAAATGCACACCCGAAAGGCAGGGGGTCTATTACATGGTCAGATCACTGACTCATGCGGATTGTTGTCCTGGATCTTAGCAGGGAGAAAGGCGAAACCCAACTCCCACCTTGCGGTCGCTAGGATGAGGCGCCCAGGACAAGAGGCAAGGGCACAACAGTAGCAGCAGTGGGTAGGCCATCTGTCAGGATCTATCCACCGCAAACCTCAGCGCACCATAGGCTCTTCCGATATATATATATATATATATATATATATATATATATATATATATATATCGAAATTAAGGTGGGTTCAATGCTGTTGAAACTTTGGCACATCACAGTTGTTGAGTGTGCTGGGTGGCTATGGCATTGGGGTGAGCACAGCTCAGTGGCAGACTGCTGACTTGAGGACAATTCGGGAGACTGAGGCGAGTTCAGTAGAAACTGCAGGATACGTTGGCCGTGAGGACAACTCCGTTGTGATTTGCGCGGATGCGTGGAACCTTGGTGACATTTATCATATGGAGAGCTGCGCTCTGTACTGAGTTGTCTAGGCCTCTGCATAGCCAGTGTGTTGTTCGGGCTGGATGGTGTACTGTAGCCGATGAAACTCCGTTGAGTTTTGCAGGGCTGTGCCAGCTCTCTAACATTGTCATTCCGCTGTGTTCATTTAGGCTCACCGATATACGACTTGGATCGTCTGGAGCTCACGGGCTATCAGAATACATTATTTCCTTTCAACTTTACCGAATGTATTCTATTTTACCTGGATACGGAGTGGAGTTAAGCAAGCGTCGTACACGTACACCTTATTGGCCTTATGTTTCGGAGATTCATGTTGGTTACTCAGTCTGTAGCGGGGCGTTTGAAATCGTTTGCTGCATGCGGTTCACACGAATTAATGAAACAACTTCGTTTAACACGTTTTCTCACGCAATTGTACAACCTTTCCGTGTATCGTGCGCCTTTCGACGTTCTTCACCCTGTAGTCTAGCAGTATGATAAGTGCCATTATTGACATCAGTAACTACACGTCGGTTTACTTTTGCCTTCGTCGTCCTGTAAGTGCCATTTGGACAAAATCACTCCACCTGTCTCAACTAAGCTCTGTGATATCATATCAGTTATTTGACAAAATTTACCTTCCAACTATTTTGCATTCTGATTCCATAAAAGGCATCATAAATATGCTAGTACGCAGTACCTACGCTTCGCCTCCGCGCAACCACCACCAGTCGCACGTGGGCTAAAGATACTGCGATGGTCGCTCGAACCCGCGCCTTCGGATTACAAGGCAGGCTTGCAATCCTTACGGCTACGGGTAGGCTCTGTACTGCAACTGTAAAACGATTTCATGGAAACTGTTCTCCCGTTATGTGACTCAGCGTTTTCTGTCCTGTCGGAAGTCGTCACCCGGGATGACTTATCACGAGCTTAGCCAGGACGCTACTATCCCATGCTCACTACATACCTAGGTGACTTTCTCATTGGTGAACTCCAACCGTCTCATTCACCCGTTGCTTGTTTTTAGCACACTGAGGTTTTCCGGTGCTGTGAACACGGAAGGTCGTTCAGGCTCTCCTGCTTACCCTACTCCCATATTTGCAGAAATCAAATATGATATAGGGGAATATTGCTGCTACTGCTTGATGTGATGCCGTCAGTTATCTAAGTCCCATTTAACTTTTCCTTTCGGATATCTGCAGTTTTTGCCACCGGTCATCACAGTTTATCCTCGAGTTCGTCCAACTCTGCTGATTGGGGCCCCAACATACCGGAGTTTCATCGGCGCTTTCACCCGGACCTTGTACCCGAGGGTTTGGACCGATTGCGCAACTTGTATTTCGCGTATCTGGTGGAACTCCGTGCTTTAGCCAAGGCTGCGCCTTATCTACGGAAGATCACATTCTACACCGGAGATGAACAAGTCGATGCGAGGACGCGGGTGGCTGTGGACGATCTGTTGGGTATTGTGGAGTGAGTTTGAGCCTGCAACTGTACATGTTCCATGTCCTCTTACTTGTGTCCTTGACTGAATGCAACTAACACAAACTTGTCTCAAATCTAGTCAAGTATATGCTTTATGCGTTTATGAAGTATAAGTATCCAACTGAAAGACACGCTACGGACAGGGGTAACTAATAGAATATTGCTAGCGTGTAGTTATGAAATAGTGGTTCCTAGAAAGTTTGACAGAGCTAATAGCTAATTTACCAAAAAGTTCACGGTTGACTGTTTAGATCAGTCGAAAAGCGTGACAACTGGGGGACAACTGGTGTACCATAGATCCGTGTGTGGGCTTATGTAGTTTTGTACATCCATTCTGTTGAGAAGGTGGCCATCATCATTGAGCATTTTTGTGTTCGACTGTTATTGCAACTAACATAACTGGATACAGTGATGTTAACAAGTTCCTGCCCTGGAATGTCGCTACACCGAGATAGCCGTTTCACTGACCTTGCGGTCCTTACTCAAAAGCCCACGGAGGATCGCGGGAAAGCACTAGGTCCAAGGGAGTAGCACCCACGCACTGATGAAACGTGGGATCAAAAACGGGTACGAAGATATATCTGAAACGGGTAGTATAGAACAAGAATCTCCTGATTTTGGTGAATTCGGTTTACGTGATGGGGCGACGTAAGTTCACTGAGGTGGAAGAGTCCACAATCATTCTTGGGTTGCCGTTTCTTTCCTCTTCAATAACATCCGCGATGCGGTTATCGGCACACCATAGCGTAGCGAAGTTTGACCTTATCATAGTGCGATGGTTTGCGTGCCTCAACGATCCGTTGACTTTTGCTTGGTAACCCTTTTTGCGTTTTTCGAGCCACTCATAGTTGGTTGGTCAATGATGAGGAGTGAGACAAACTCATTCTACTAACCCTCCAGCTCTTGAGGGTTGGAATAAAGGTGACGGATCATTTCTTAAATGGGATTTCACGTAACCCACATCCAAACTCCCGCTGCTTTGCGGTGTGATTTCTGAACCAAATGCTTGTGTGAAGAACCATAGTTGTTCTCTTGTCTAGGCCTGTACAATCTTACAGTACCCTGCTCACGCAATACGATGAATCCTTTCTCAAACAATTTCTTCGTGTTCTTGACATCACAGAGGATGATCAACGACGCTCAACGTGTTGCATCGAACATGGTGTATATACGTGATAATGATGCTACTGCTGTCGCCTTTCGTTCTTATTATCCCCATTACGATTTTTCTTATCGTCCAGTTCCAATTCCACTTCCGTCCATTCTCTTTTCAGCCCCCAATTCTTGGCCATCCCCAACTTTGCTTTGACAGGCGTTTATCTTCCAGTCTTGACTCATACGCACTCGCGGAGCGTCATTTCTCCCCGGTTGACATGTTTGTATCTAACCAAGCGGACAACCCCAGTCTCTCCGTTTATACATGGGGCACCCTATCCTTTATAAGTCTGGTTTGCTTCAGCGTATTCACTTTGTTACGGACCGATCAATACTTTTCACTTGACCGCATATTAGAGACCTTCTTGATGGATATCTGCTGCGTATCGGAAACTTGTCTGCTAGACCCGAGGTTTGTGTTCATTCTACCATCCTCTTGATGTGACACTGGGGCCACTTTTTATTTGCCTATACTCAAAGATAATGCAGCTTCAAATGCCCATCAAGCCAGTGTAGGTATTCCTTTAAGACCATGGGCCAAAAGTGATTTCATCGACTCGATCCCAGTCATCATCATCATCATCATACACGTTAGCCAGAGGTGTGGAACACCTCAGCTACTGTGCCGCAATACATAGAAAAAAGGAGAGAAAAAAGAATACAACTAATGCAAACCGGCTGAGCTACCGATAACGGATGGGCATCGTTCCGGTAAGCTACATGCCGGCTACTGTGCATCAGAAACATTATGCCAAATTATATAAAGCTAAATAATAAGATCGTGGTTGGAGGGGGAGGCTGAGAGGGATGGGTGGGACAAAGAAACTCACAGCACGAACGCCACTGAGGTCGGCTCCTTGCCATGTCAGCAAATGTGTCCAACCAAACGTGTTCATCGTCTTTCGGACCCCAACCAGGGAGCCGAGACGTTTCAACCGAGGCCAGCTCAGAAGTGAGGGCCTTCATTCCTCTCGACCAAGTCATTGCTTGGCCACCCCTCTTCTCCCATGCACACCCCCGGCACGCAAACAACGCACGTCGCGGGAGTCGGTGGGCTGGCATGCGTAACACGTGGCCGAGCCATCGGAGCCTGATGCGTGAAATAACGGTGCTGAGCGGTTCATTTCCTTTTCCTGTGCCATAAACAAGGCGTCGAACACGCTCGTTGCTCACGCGGTGTTCCCACCAGATGTGAGGTAAATGACGAAGGCACCGGTGGTCGAACGTAACTAGCCTCCTTATGTCCACCGATCTAAGGGGTCAGGTTTCACAACCGTACAGTAGGGTCGAACGTACTGCTGCATTGTACACTCTACCCTTCAGGGCGAGAGTGATGTCGCTCCGCCACCATAAGTGGCGAAGGTTAGCGAAAGCGCCCCAAGCTTTTGCTATACGGTTCGTGATCTCATCTTCAATCCCACGGGCGCTGATACAACTTCCCAGGTAGTTGAATTTTTGAACGACTTCTAGCTGATCCCCACCAAGGGTCAGCGTTGGAGGCGGTCCGGACCAATCTTGGAGCAGCGCCCGAAGTAACGGACAGCCAATATCAATGTGTCCAGTGCAGCTTGGCACGTTTGTGAGCTGTCACAGATTAGGGAAATATCATCAGCATACTCTAAGTCAAGAAGTCGTTCTCCTAGGAACAGATTCACCCCTTCTAAGTCGTGTCCTGTCAACGCGATTTCCATGACTTCCTCAACAGCGAAGTTAAAGAGGAAAGGTGACAGTGGATATCCTTGTCTCACAACTTGCCGTAAGCCCTCACTCTACACGAGGTACGCGCATATAATGCTCGGATAATATTCACATATTTCTTAGATACACTTTTCCTGAGTAGACAGTTCCAAAGTGCGAGTTTATCCACCGAATCGAATGCACCTTTGATATCGAGGAACACGACAACGGTGGGCCGCCAGTATATGTGACGGTGCTCCAACAACTGACGCAAGGTGAAGATGTGGTCAATGCAGCCACGACCTCGACGAGAGCCGGCTTGATCTTCACGAATCTGGCTTTACGCGTGCCAGTCAGTCTGTGATGGATGGCAGAGGCAAGCAATTTGGAGGCGATGGAGATCAGACTGATTCCTCTATGGCTGCCGCATTCCGATCGTGAGCCTCCCTTGAAAATTGGGACTATGACGGAGCGGCTCCAGTCGGTTGGGACAGTTTCTTGCTCCCACAGTTTCACTAGCAATTCGTGTAAATTATCCACAATAGCAGGTCCCCCGAATTTGAAGAGGGCTGGAGGAAGATCATCAGGTCCCGCGGCTTTATTTAACTTCAACAGTCCGATCTCACTTTCGACTTTTGAGCGAGAGGGTGAATCCAAAGGGACAGCCCAGGGAGCGGGGCGATCAGTGGCCGGCGAGAAATCTAACAATTCCGGCCGATTAAATTGCCTTCCAAAGTGCTCAGCCCAACGCTCTAAGCGTTTTGACAAGTTGTGGATAGACTGTCGACTCTCGTCCCGTATAGTTTCACTAACACCAAGTCTTTTGCTGCCCGATTCCCGTATGACAGATTAACTTACGATGGTCACCAAGGGCTGCGGCCATTTCCATTTCTGATGCACGATGAGACCACCAGGATTCGCGGTCTCTCTTCAGGCTAGCATGGAGTTTCGCCCGGAGCTCTTTGCGAGTTTCATTGTGTTCGTTTCCAGCCGAAATATGCCGACGAGCATCTAATAGTTCCAGAGACCGTGAAGAAACCCAATGTCCATGTTGGCGATTAGACTTACCCGTATGAGGATTTGCCTGCTGCAAGTAAGGTCTGGTGAATATGAGACCAGTGAGCTTCAGTTGCATCCAGTGAGCCTTTTTCCAACTCGCATGATAGCGTACTTTGATAGGCATTCAGAACAGCTGGCTTCGCCAGTTGGTTGGTGTCAATGCGCTCACAGTGTCGTCTTGGGCATCCGCCAAAGCGCATCCGGAGGTCAGCACGTACAGGTGCATGATCGGTGTCCACACTTGTGCTCCAAATTGAGCGACAGTTCTGGGTGCAGCTTCTCCAGTGGTAACTGATTGCAATGTGATCAATTTGCGTCCAAGGCTGGTTCGATGCTGGCGAGCGCCACGTCACCGTCCGGCGGGTGCTGTGTCGGAAATTAGTGCTTGCAAGAAATAAGCGAGCATCCTCACACAAATGAAGTACCCGCTCACCGTTATCATTACGGGAGCCTACACCATGTTGGCCACCCAAATGCAGCTCATCAGTGGATAATTTTCCAACATGAGCGTTCAGATCCCCGGCCAGCACTACAGTGTCCGAGCTTCTTCTGTGGCTAAGGAGCTCGTTCAGTTGACGATAGAAGTCGTCTCTTACCGAGTCATCGCTACAGCTTGTCGGTGCATAGGCAGCGATAACGAATAGACACCTGTTAGTCCCACGCGACTTCGAAGTTTTGAACGAGCCAGCCAATCGGACCGCACACAACCGGCTACTGATTGGAATCCAATCAACCAGAGCAGTTTCAGCCCGGGGACTCAGGGCAATACCAACACCGGTTTGGTCGGTGCTCGAAACTATATCGTCATCGGATAGGCGCAATGAGAACGTGCTGCTGGTGTCATCTGAAGAGGATCGCAAAGTGAGCACTGAGCTCGAGTCTTGCAGGCGGGTCTCCGATAAGCAGCAGATATCGATTGAGAGGGTCTCTAATGTTCGGGCAAGTGCTGCCTGTTAACCGATCTGAAGCAATGTGTTAACATTGAGGCATGTCAGTCTGAAGGAGGATGGAGGGCTCCAAATGGAAGCCGATGAACTGGAATGGACCGCTTGCTTGGACATAGGCCTATTGACAGGGCAGGAATGACGCTCCGCGTTCACGTGTGAGTTGAAGCTAAAAGACAAGCGACTATGGAAGCAAGGTGGGGAGGGCCGAGAATTGGAGGGCTGAAAACAGGGGGGATAAAAGTGAAGCTGGAACGGGACGATAAGGGTGAAAAAGCGTAAGAGGGGGAATAAGAAGACGGGAAGGCTTGAGCAGTAACATCCAAACCCTATCCACCCTGCTCGATGCACCGTTGATTATCCTCTGCGATGGCCAGGCCATCAGAAATTTGTTTGAAGTGAGATTCGTAGTATTGCGTGGGCAGGATACTGTCAGGTTGCCCAGGCCTAGATAGGAGAACGATTAGGGTTCTCAACCAAAGCCTATGGTTCAAAAACCTGTTCGCAAGGCAGCGGGTTTGGCATTGGACTACAAGGAGTCCGTTTTAAGGAATAAGGTGCCACCCTTATTCCAACCCCCACCCTGGAGGGCCAAGAGGCTGAGTTAGTCTGGCCTCTAACCATTGACCAATCTGGTATGAGTGGTTCTGAAGGTGCAAAAATGCACCACCCAGTATAGCTCAATGGATTACTGAGGCACACAAACCATCGCACCACGGTAAGGTCCAGCCTCATTGCGATGGTCGATCCCAGTCAACACCTGAATGTGCGCCGTCCGACTGGCAGCCACGATCAAAGCCTTTTTTTAGCTGAGTTGTTTCTCCCCTTGACTAGTATGTATATTGGCGATTATCCTCGTATCACAGTGCGGGTGATACTGTGCATTTCCGGATGTCTGACGCTCTGACTACGAATAGCCACGGGACACCTGCGCTGCACCGTCTACAGCTCGTCTGCACACCGATGTCTAGTGTAGGTGCGAAGTCATGTGACTGGAAGACATGTGGTTGGGAGCGGCAATTTAATCGGAGGTGGTTCACTCCTCTTTATTGCACACTGCACTCAATTAACGGGTAAAGGTGCACGCCAGACGTACACAGATCAGTGATTGGACCGCGATCCATCCTACTCTGAAACCACTCTTTTCTCCAAGTACTGTTACAGGAGCCTTGCGCCCATCTTCAGCAATGATTGTTGGTGCTCTGGAACTGGTAATTGTGGTGGCGGCATTTGAAATGTAGCAACCTTATCTCAACACCCCTTACCGAACACGTGAACTTAGAATAATCGTGGACAATGTGACACACATTGAAAGCATAAGTTTAACCTGGTTACAGCGACGACAATGCGAAGTGACACACTAGCTGCGATCTCGGTTGCTCAGACATCCACTTAACTTACCACATTTACCACACAGTTCTCGTAACCATGTTGACGACTCACTAAACCCACTCGAGTGAGGTACGCAATGTTGCTGCATGTGCTGCAACACCATGTGAACCATGACGACGAGCTTGCGTGCGCTCGTCTTTTCCTTCTTGCGTATCCGAAATGGCTTCTGTTGTGGTCACACCAGTGCCGACGATTCATTGTCATTCCTTTCTTGCACCTTTAATCATTGTTTGTTCTTGTGAACTGCCCTCAACATGCTCTGATAGCACTGGTTCTGTTATCACCATTCTCTTTCTCCGGCCTTAAGTGGACCACACAACGGGCGTTTCGGTATTCTAATCGCTTCCATTCAACGGACATGACTCAGCCATCTGAATTGTCACAGTAGGGACAGCGTACGATCTGTTCCATACTCGTTACTTCTGCGGCACACCTCGGTGTCTGGTCCTCTGTCCCACAAACGAATGCACAAGGTTTTCATGAAATCAGTTGTGTAGTGTCCATATTCTGCCTTCGTAGAGAAGAACCGATAACATGTATACCGTGAGCTCAAGCACACCGGCCAGATGGTGATTTTTTCAGCTTACCAAAAGCAACACGCCTCTGATACAAGAGCAACCGACTCACAGTTTATCCACAAGTCTTGACATCTAGCTTATGAACTAGCAAGCATTTAACCGGTTCAGTAATACTTCGTTACCAATACTGGTTTGCCGATGCTGCACCAAATTTGACAAACTTACGAAGTGGCCAGTCCATGATGTGTGGTATAGAAGTTTGAAGATATTGACTGAGAGACTTAATCAGGCTGCTGCGTGCCGTCTTTCCGGATGGGAGCCTTGAGATGGGTTACACCAATGGCTGGAGACCTTCTCACACATGGCGCAGTCAGGGGCGATCCAGCGTTTGGTGTCTTACTTGTGGTTGTCAATTCTCGCTTCATTCTGATTCGTCTAACGCACTTCCTTCTTGCTTCCATTTTTTTACTCTATTCGCATTCAACCCTAATATTTTGCCGTTGCCATTTATTGTTATACTTGCGATGTGAGTCGTGACAACTGGACCCACCGCATTTCGATGCTCGGGTCACAGTTGTTCAGCTGAATCGAACTGTACTGAGTTTGTGAACAGCGAATTTAGTCTGGTCCTGCTGGCGACTGCAAAATTCGCCTGACCTTACCTGTTCAGCTAGTACGTCCCGATTTGTCTACCAGCGAAGCGAGTGCAGTTACAGCTTCACCCCGTCGTGTGTAAGCAAAAGAAGCAGTCATCCGCAAGTGGCAGCGTTTGGATGATTCTCCCCCTGTTCTCCTCGCTCAGTCCGACGTCCATGCAATGCTCGAGGCAGACTCCATCTTCACGTAAATTGAATGAACGTGAAAGTGTCGTAATTAGCCAAGTGTGCAAACGAGTGCGGGCCAGAAGACAGCCCCGCCTTACACCAGAGACAACCTCAGCGGTTTGTCCACATGGTTGCACGATAGCTTCCCTACACTTATTGGGACACATCCGAACTTGCCTTAGATTGACAATAGCGCCTCGAGATTCGCCTTGTCGAACGCTTTGGCGAAGTCGGCCAGCATTGCATACGGAGGCTACTTTCGTGCACAATGTGGAAACCAGAAATCTGCAGGTTGTTCATTTAAACGAGGAGCACATTTACGCACATTTACGTTGTCACCTATATGCACAATGCTGAGTGTCGCATAACCCGATCACAGGAAATGAAGTCCCTGAAGACCCATGTGGGTGCTGTCGGTCCGTCTCGCCTTTTAGACTGTAGTTTACGTGACTCACCTTATGCTTGGCTCGCAGTCGACAAAGGTGGCGCGTCTACTGTCGTTTCGTAATCGTACTGCCTCTCTAAAGTATGCTTGTTGCTGAGTTATCTGCGAGCTAATGGCTGATTATGACGCGAGGCATTGGAAGCCGCAAGGAAGCTGTCTCGCTGATGCTGCCTTATGTTTGCTCGATATCCTGTTGTTTGCGACGATATGTTGTTAACACAAGACGTAGAAGCCTTAACCCTGAATGTTTGTTTAGGGCATTAAGATTTTACCCTGGGTCCCCTTTTCTCTCCCTCTTATTTTTCTTCCTTCCATAGGTCGTTGTGGTTGTATGGCGGCGACGACACTTCAAATGGCTGATGTTCTGCTGTTATTGATGATGAGGGTCATTCAGAGATAAACGGTTTCCACGACAAATCAGTGTCAACGAAAATGACATCATAACTAACATGTAGAGACCTCGAATTAAATAGCTAGGTCACTTCCATGATAAACGACTCTTGCAGTTATGAGATTCTTCATCTGAATCCGTTACACAAACTCACCGCAGTGGAACCATCTACGAGCCAACATGCCTATGGGCGAATATTCGTAGGTTTCGTCAAGTAAATCCGTCTCGTTCCTCTGATTGCGGAATCCCATCCCATCCTAACCTTTTCCGTGATTAACCGCGTCGGTGTCACTGAAGACTCCGTATGCGTGGTTTTTGCTGTATCTGTTATTGTGACCACTCTGTAAGCCGTCGTTTGCCTTGCTTCTGGCTTACCTTTCCATTCCCGGTGTCGCCTCAACTGCAATTATTTGTAACAAACGATCGCCAGCGGAGCCATGCTTTGCACCGGAATAAATTGCTCTTACCGCACTCACTACTGCTTCACTTGGCTTAACGATATGCTCGTACGGTGCGTTGCCATCATGCCACCTTATAACCCTATTTTGTACACAATTCGATTTCCGGATTGCGATATTCACCCTTGACTGTAAGCCAGAAGCGATTTATATACGAATATCTTCGTTTTTCGTTAATATATCAATTGATCTTGGCTATGATCCTTCTCAGAGGTTGTGTTTTCAGTTCGTTCTCATGTTCACCCAAACTTGACATTTGTTAGCTAACGTGGTATTGCCTCATCTGTTCCGGTATATATCTCTAACTCCCCATCTTCACCTGTTTTGAGTATCTAAAATTCCACATGTACCGTCGAATTCCAGGTCAAAACTTAACCTATTTGATGAACGTCAACTATTTACCGATAAAACAGAAGAGGCAGAATCGTTAAAATTGCAATTTCGCCAACATTTCGCCAACATCTCTCGCATCATGGACTGCGTTGGTTGCGACAAATGCCGTCTTTGGGGCAAATTACAGGTATATCGACTGGTTTTCTGTGTTTAACGCATTTGGTTTTCCACGCGTTCTGTCCAACTGTTCACTGAACTTCCAGCATTATCGATGTGCCCGTCTTCGACTATCCGTTGTTGGTTTATCCCCTCTACTCCCCTCAGCCTAAACTGTGGACGCCACTGGCCCCTCTAGCCAAAGTTTCAGTGGCACCGTTAACACCTACACCGATTCCTTCTCTTCTTGTGCATTCCCCGATCATCTGAGTACCGCGGTGTTTTTTGGGTACCCAATACGTTATACTGTCAGACGGTAGCAATGTTTGAAGCGAGAAATTCTCCATGTACTTCCAAACAAGATCTGAAGACGTAGTTTGTGAGATGGCGTCATCATTTCGTGCATCCTCATCAATCAATGGATAAACCAAAACAATATTATAAACAATCGTGCATGACCAAGCGTTTACGCTACCAGGGTAAGTTATAAGCCACAGTCAGGTGTTTGTGAATACACAACGGTGAGCGTTCACGATCGATAACGATGGCCTCCAGAGGCGTAAGCATGCAAGGCCGTTTATCACGCCTTAGGAATGTGAACGAGCCACCTAGATTGACTCGGTGGGCGGTGATCAGCAAATGCTTCGTGACTGCCCATGCAGCTCATTTTCCCGATTCAACCGATTCCGTCGTCAATATGCCCTCCGGCTGCGTAACCACTTGGGGGATGTTTATTCATTCTGACGCCTAAACTACAATCAGTGCGCCCAACGTATCTGTCCCACAGCTACAAGTGAATTTGTATGGGCAGTGGGACATGCGCTGCCTCCTCGTCGGTGTCTTAATAGAGCATATAGGCACACGTCTCTTCGAGGTGAACAACCGCACTCTCTTTAGTGAAGCACATTCGTTACCCGCTGCCCGAGTCGTTCACAGTCCTAAAGCGCAATCAACGGCCCCACATGTTTGTGCCTCTGGAGACCATCATTATCGAACGTGAACCCCCATCGCTGTGCATTCAAAAATAGCTGGCTGCGGCTCTTAGCTTACCCTGGTAGCGCAAGCGATTGGTCATGTACGATTTATGATGGCAATGTTTCAGTTTATCTATCTTTGTTGCATATTTGCGATTGACGCGAATGCATGAACTGACGACCTCATCTTTGCTTCGTGCTTTATTTCATGGCCTTAGTGTGATTTTCTTCAAAATGCACTCGATCTGTTCTACAGTTAACGAAAAGGTGGATGGTTTTGTGACCATCGTGCAGAATACGCTTCAAAGTTCTGAGTTCAAACATGGACGAAACCGGTTCTGGATCGCTGTATTGGGAATGGGCGAATCCTTAATCTCATCTATTCTGTACTGCTTGTCCCAAGGCGTGATCATTGCTACTTGTTCCAGTTTTTTCTCGCTGGCAGTTCAGGCGTTTGACTTATAATCCAAAGGTTGCGTTTCCAAGCGATCTCTCAGTATCTCTAGCCCGTACGCGACTGATATTGGTCGAGTGACAACGAAGTATCTGTACAGCGCACCGGCATGCTCTTTATGGGTAAAACTAAGCGTATCGTATTGTGTGGCAATTTGATTCTTAATTTACCACAAAACATCTGACACTACAAGGAACCCAACCGAACCTGAGAGCTTTCTTTTCCCTCACGTAGACTTGTATTCTACGCCACTCGTTTTCATTACCTCTTATCTCGCATGTTCTGCAGTTTTATCAACTCTTCTGTTCACTTTTACCAGACCCAAGGTATGGGAACAGCTTTGAAGATCCTATTCACTGCCCCCGATCCCCTGATCGATTGTGGACCACAATGCCAGACAGGTTTTCAACTCACTCGGCGGGAGATCGTCGCCTTGTTCAACGCTATCGGTCGGTAAGTGCTGTTTGACCGCTTTTCTTTTAAAACAGCATAGGCTATTTCACTTATGCAATTGTGTTGTTGAACGCCATGGTGTTACTCTTCTCAGCAGAGTTTCTAACGAACTGGGTTGGCGGGCACTATCAGGTGAATGTCATTGATTCGGTCACATACAACTAAAACATTACTGTACTTTGGCCTCTTGTCCCATTGCCTCGACTTTTTTTGGTCGGTGCATTTTTACTGTTTTCCTCCACTGCTTTCGCCTTTGTTCCAACATGTAATGATCTGCACATTATTGGCTGGTTGCTTGCCTACTCGTGTCCTGCACCCAGTGTCTTTTTGATATATCATTCGCACAACGTATTCCCCACACAACCTTTCGACAACAGAGGTAGTATAGGAAGTTTTCAGTTACCGTTGACCTTATGTGCTGTCGACCTTATTGCCCCACGGATTATCGCACCGTAACCACATACTTCCGTACCCCGATTCTACATCGTAATTGCCCGCGTCACTGGTTGGTCTAAGGTTGGTGGCATCTGTTTCCGAATTCGGCTTTCACATTGACTGCCAAACAACAACAACATCTGCGCCTGCAGATAGATTATGGGTGGTTTTACTGCATCACCCACAGCTTCGTCCACTAATCGAATATCCATTGTCAACCTGAATGAACTGGGTCGGGAAGTGTACAGTAGGGATGACTCCGACCCGATCCACGCTGCTTTTGCGTGCACATTATTCGTACGAATTAGGGGGAAATATGCGCACCACAGAACAGCAGTTGGACCGTAGCCCGCTCCACACCGGATGAAGCTACTCTTCGAGCCTAGCACCAAGACCGTTGCATTTTTGCCCTTTTTTCTTTTATGTATTGCGGCACAGTAGCTGAGGTGTTTCCCACCTCTAGCTAACGTATATACTGATGATAACCAAGACCGTAGCCCCAGCAACGATAACCAGTATCATGACACCAGCTGTTGATCTTTGACAGGTGGACACCTTGAAGATTTTGACATCAGGAAAAGCTATACCTGGGGCACCAACCGGTTAGCGCTGTTGACGGTGCTACACACGAACAGGTACAGGTAAAGAGATGGGTTGTAGCATACGTGCCCCGTCTGTCACATTATTAGCCTGAGTTAGTAACTAGCCGGAAACAGTGTGACAATGCTGCGCTGACACTCACCTGTTTAACTTATTATCTCTCCTATCTTTGCTCCTCATCGCTAAGCCGACAACTTGTCAGACCGGCTCGGCTTAGGCACACACGACCACATCTACTGTAGTGCTGGGAGAATGACGCCGATGGGTTTGCTTTGTCGGCACATGTCGTTTGCTTAACCGTCTCTCTTACTCTCTTCATATATATATATATATATATATATATATATATAGCCGCGAGAGCCTATGGTGCGCTGAGGCTTGCGGTGGCTAGATCTTGACAGATGGTCTACCCACTGCTGCTACTGTTGTGCTATGGGCTCATGTCCTGGACGCCTCCTCGTGGCGACCGCTGGGTGGGAGTTGGGTTACGTCCTTCTCCTAGCTAAGAGTCAGGACACCAATCCGCATGAGTCCATGAATTGACCATCGGGTGTTCATTTAATCAAAAGCTTTGGCTGAGGACCCGAGTCGTTCTCCCGTCAGGTGTGGGCGCCCTGCCAGTATACTAGTCCAAACCCCATCCTCTTCGGAGGTTGGGAAGTGGTCCATGGCCCTCTTCCCATAAGACCTAGCCATGGGAGACAACAGGTCCACGGGTTATAAGCTCACAGCTCGATTGGTATAGAGCACGAACGCCACGCTTTGTCTCTGACGGTGGGAGGGCACATCCGGGTGCTTAATGGTTAGCTACTGCTTGCCTCAAACCAAGCAGCTCCTGGTCAAATTTGTACAAACCCGCGAAAACCCTTCTGCGTCTGGCCGTGGTCGCAGGTAACTATCTTACTACGGTCTCAAAATGCATATGAGTTGTTCCAGTACCTCAAAGACTGCGTGTGACGGCCGTCAAGCAGGTCCCAATCTGTCTGTGTAATTACATTCCCGAGCTGGATATGCTCCCCACTGCCTTGTTGGTCAAGCTATTGAGCCGAAGGCACCGGGTGGAGCCCCTCCAGCAAACCTCTGAAGCACAGCGACCACCTCGCTTGCGGTTGCCCACCAATGCAATCGTATGCCTGCGGGTAAAAAGCACTCAACATCGGGTGCTGGAACGTGCGCACACTACTGGACCGAAATTCGAGTGAGCGCCCGGAGCGACGCACTGCATTAGTCACGATAGAACGATGGAGCACGTTACCACATCGATATAGCGGCGCTCAGCGAGATTCGGCTCACTGAGCAAGATAACTTGCATGAAGTTGGTGCCGGCCATACGTTCTACTAGATGGAAAACGCCACCTCAACGCTACATGCTCATGGAGTCGGATTTGTATTATCCGCTCGACTAAATGGCCAGCTGGTGGTGAACCAACTGGCATCAGCGCGCGACTGATGACTGCTCGCTTACGACTTGGAAGAGTTAAGTTTGCCACTTTCGTAAGCACGTACGGTCTGACCATGTGTTATCCTGATGACACGCGTGATCAATTCTGCACTCAGCTGTCCTCCATGATGCGGTATGTGCTGTGGAGCGACCGACTATTTCTGCTGGGTCATTTCAATGCGCACATTGGGCGTGATGCATCGGTGTGGAAAGATGTCATCGGTCCTCGTGGCATTGATTCAGCGAATGCGAACGATGACAGGGCTGCTCTCGCTGTGTACCACTCTCGGCCTGACGATCACGTGCACTCAGTTTGAAATGAGTACGAGTGATATTACAACTTGAACCACCCACAGAGTGATCACGCTCACCTGCTCGACTATGTCATCTTACGTCAGCGTGACATGCGTGCAGTGTACATGACAGGTGTACTGTGTGGAGCTGAGTATGGCATTGATTACAAATTGGTGCAGATCAAATTGTACATATATTTTCATAAACCTATGTATTGCACTCCTGCCGTGAACCGACGTACATTTGACATTCTCTCCCTCGGTACTGTGGCGAAACGTATCGAGCTGGAAAAGGCGATGACTGCACAACTGTGTGATGTGAAATGCATAGCCACAGTGGGCGACCTGTGGCACCACATTCGCGACCAGGTGACGGCTGCTGCCGAGCAGACCATCGGGCACGCAAACTGTAAAAGACCCGATTGGTTTGATGAGAGCAATGCGACGATTGGCGCATTGATGGCTGAGAAGAATGCAGCATTTACTGCACATGTGGTAGACCCTAGTGACTTGGGGAAGAATAGTCAGTTTCGCAAAACTCGACGGCGAATGACGCGGGAGCTCCGTCGCATTAAAAATGCATGGTGGACGGAGAAGGCGAAGCAGATGGAATGCTACGTCGAGCGCCGCCAACACAAAGAATTATCTGACTCCTTGAAGGCGGTGTATGGACCGAGATTGGAGCCGTTGAGGGCGCTGATCGATGGTAGTTCAGGCGCTACCTGCACACAGACCGAAGACATAGTGCAGATCTGGCGAAATCAATTTGACTGTCTCTTGAACAACCGTTCAGAGATTGACTGACCTAAAGCAGCACGATGTGGTGAGTTTGGCGGACACGCCGACACTGGATGAGACGCATAGAACACTGGCTCAGCTGCGAAAGGACAAGTGTGCCGGTGCCAACGGGATCCCGCCTGAAGTATTGAAACACGGCGGACCTGCGCTGTTGATTGCGCTGCACCACTTGGTCCAACGCGTGTGGATTGAGGAGGAGGTGCTTGCTGAGCTGAAGGATGCCCTTGTGCTACCACTGTACAAGGGCAAAGGGAGGAGGCAATGTTGTACGAATTATCGTGGCATCAACTTTCTGAGTTGTGTGGGCAAGGTGATTGCCCGAATCCTGCTCAACCGCCTCGTCAGTCAGATGGTGGAAACGAATGTGGCGGAAGAGCAGTGTGGATTCCGTTCGGGTCGCAGCACTCGTCAGTTGCAGGAGAAGTGCAGAGAACGACACCAACCGTTTTACTCGCTGTTTGTTGCTTTCACAAAAGCATTTGGTACTTTGAACGGAGAGACATTGTGGCCCCAGAGAAGGAGCGACAAACGCGTAAACGACGGGCGCCGATGAGTTGTATTCAATCGACGTCGAGCGCATGATGCTGTAGCACATGCGGCGTTAGTAAATACGCTGCATTTGATTTACTAACCGTGTGCTTGCATGCTTAGTCTCTTCATTTCAGGTGGTTGGTTTTGCTATATTGTCTAATGTTTTTTATTTCATTAATGTCCACCTGTACTATCATCTATAAACTTGCACACGTCGCTTAAGTTAATAGTAATTTGCTATGGTAATATTTCCGCGTTTGTAGCATTTTCTTAGATTATATATTCTGACATCTTGAACTTATCTCGGATTTGTTCAAAACCATTTTATTTCATATGTTCATTTGTTGAACAGTCATGTCACCGTATCTGTATGCATCATTCGATTTACTTTATTTGATATCGTTCTTTCAAGTGATTGGTTGTTCCTTGACGTCCGCACTGTGGCTGCACTTGATGTGCATGTTGACAAGGTGCCTACCTGTCTTTTACTCACAACCTCGTCTATATTGTCCCCAGGAGACTGTTGGTCGTTCCTAGACGGGACGGGATTCATGCTCATCGTAGCCGTGCTGGGCTTGAAGAGTAGTTCAGTCCACTGTGGAGCGGACTACGGTCCAGCCACCGCCTTGTTTGCGCTTGATTCCCAAATACTACGTGCACGTGTTTGCCTGTGAAGGAGTGTAGGCCGGCTCCGTTGATGAAACGTGGCTCTCATCCGCATGTCTCCCGGTCTTATTACTTCTGGTTTACACTGGATATGGGGTGTGTGGATGGAGCTGTGGGTGGTGCATCGCAACCATCCATATATATATATATATATATATATATATATATATATATTCACTGTCAATTTAACGGGACTCCTCTCTTCTGCTTATGTCTGATTGTTGTACGGACTTGCA